AATATAATATGTGAATATTCTATTTTTTTTAAATAATTGTAATAATTAGTGTATTATATTCAAAGTTTATTCTGTACTAAAATTTTTCTGACTTCTGGTATATGATTTTTTAAGATAAAAGGTTTTTCTTTTCAAAGAAAATTAGTTTCTGATCTTTGGCACTCAATAACTTTTGAGTTAATCGACCAATCTATAAATATTATTAAATCAAATGAAAGCTTGAAGTGTCCTCTTTCGATTAAGCTAATTTGCAGAGAAATGGTATCTCTGCTTTTAAAGATATAATTAATTTTTAATGCAACCTCGTTTTTACAAATATTTGCTTTCCATTTTTAAAGAAAATTTGCTCTATACTATATAAGAGCTAAGTATATTTAGAAAACCAAACATATTTGTTACTGTTATCTGTCTTTTATTTCATAGTTTTTAATTAAATAATAATGTTTTAATTAATTAAAATTTGAAATGACATCGTAATAAAAAATCGACGCTAACTATATTTTGACATTAAATTTCCCTTTTCATCAGGCTGCAATTTCAACTGTTCGACGCTAACTATTTTGACATTTAATATCCCACACTTATCAATGCAATTTCAACTGTTGTGCATAAATAAGTAAGCGCACATTTGAATTAATTATAATTAATATGTGAATATTCTATTTTTTTTAAATAATTGTAATAATTAGTGTATTATATTCAAAGTTTATTCTGTACTAAAATTTTTCTGTCCTCTGGTATATGATTTTTTAAGATAAAAGGTTTTTCTTTTCAAAGAAAATTAGTTTCTGAACTTTGGCACTCAATAACTTTTAAGTTAATCGACCAATCTATGAATATTATTACATCAAATGAAAGCTAGAAGTGTCCTCTTTCGATTAAGCTAATTTGCGGAAAAATGGTATCTCTGCTTTTAAAGATATAATTAATTTTGTATCAAAGAAAATTAGTTTTTGAACTTTGGCACTCAATAACTTTTAAGTTAATCGACCAATCTATATATATGAATACATCAAATGAAAGCTAGAAGTGTCTTCTTTCGATTAAGCTAATTTGCAGAAAAATGGTACCTCTGCTTTTAAAGATATAATTAATTTTGTAATGCAACCTCGTTTTTACAAATTTTTGCTTTCCATTTTTAAAGAAAATTTGCTCTATACTATATAAAAACTAAGTTTATTTAGAAAACTAAACATATTTTTTACTGTTATATGTCTTTTATTTCATAGTTTTTAATTAAATAATAATGTTTTAATTAAATAAAACTTGAAATAACATCGTAATAAGAAATCGACGCTAACTATATTTTGACATTACATTTCCCTTTTTCATCAGTGCAATTTCAACTGTTCGACGATAACTATTTTGATATTTAATATCCCACACTTATCAATGCAATTTCAACTGTTGTGCATAAATAAGTAAGCGCACATTTGAATTAATTATAATTAATATGTGAATATTCTATTTTTTTTAAATAATTGTAATAATTAGTGTATTATATTCAAAGTTTATTCTGTACTAAAATTTTATAATAAAAGGTTTTTCTTTTCAAAGAAAATTAGTTTCTGAACTTTGGCACTCAATAACTTTTAAGTTAATCGACCAATATATAAATATTATTACATCAAATGAAAGCTAGAAGTGTCCTCTTTCGATTAAGCTAATTTGCAGAAAAATGGTATCTCTGCTTTTAAAGATATAAATTATTTTGTATCAAAGAAAATTAGTTTTTGAACTTTGGCACTCAATAACTTTTAAGTTAATCGACCAATCTATGAATATGAATACATCAAATGAAAGCTAGAAGTGTCCTCTTTCGATTAAGATAATTTGCAGAAAAATGGTATCTCTGCTTTTAAAGATATAATTAATTTTGTAATGCAACCTCGTTTTTACAAATGTTTGCTTTCCATTTTTAAAGAAAATTTGCTCTATACTATATAAAAACTATGTATATTTAGAAAACCAAACATATTTTTTACTATTATCTGTTTTTTATTTCATAGTTTTTAATTAAATAATAATGTTTTAATTAATTAAAGTTTGAAATGACATCGTAATAAAAAATCGACGCTAACTATATTTTGACATTAAATTTCCCAAATTTATCGTCAATGCAAATTAAACTGTTTTGCATTCACAAGTTAGCGCATAATTTAATTAATTTTATTTAATTTGTTAATCGAACAATATATATAGTATTAGACATTAATTGGCTTAGAAAAATTCTAGTTTTTTGTTCAAATAATATCTTAGATGCAATAATCTTAATAAAAATTCGACGCTAACTATATTTTGATATTTAATATCCCACATATATCATCAACGCAATTTCAACTGTTGTGCATGCCCAAGTTAGTTCACATTTAATTTAATTATATATAATTTGTTAATCGAATAAGATATATAATATTGTATATCAATCGTTTTAGAAAAAATTCTAGTTTCTTATTTTGATAATATCTTTGATGCAGCAAGTTTAATAAAAAATCGACGTTAGCTTTTCTTTTGCAGTACTATGGACTTATCAATAACTCTGCAACTGTACATTATGTTTTTCAGTGCCATTTTAATTTTTCAGCGAATTTAATTTAAGATGGTATGCCATCTATTAACCAACTTTGTACAAAATTTTTGAATAATTAATAAAATTAAACTAATTTCGATTTTTTTCAAATAATTGTGCTTATTAGAGTATTGTATTGAAAGTTATTTATATATAAACTGTTTTCTGACTTCTGGGATATGCTTTTTATAAGAAAAATGTCGTTTTTAAAGGAAAATTAATTTCTGAACTTTGACACTCAATAACTTTTAAGTTAATCGACCAATCTATAAATATGAAGACATTAAATGAAAGTTTGAAGTGTCCTCTTTCGATTAGGCTAATTTGCAGAAAAATGGTACCTCTGCTTTTAAAGATATAATTAATTTTGTAAAGTAACCTATTTTTACAAAATTTTATTTTCCTTACTTTGAAGAAAATTTTTTCTATATTATGTAAAGAGCGATTATATTTAGAAAAACAAACATATTTTTTATTGTTATAAGCTTTTTAGTTCATAATTTTTGGTCAAGTAACAAAGTTTTAATTAAATAATGTTTGAAAATGATATCTCTATTTTCATCGCAGTACTGCTCCTAAGTTAATCGAACAACCTATACAAAATTTTACATTATATGAAAGATAATTTTATCCTCTTTCGAATGAGCCATAAAAGAAAAAAATGGTACCTCTAGTTTAAAAGTTATTAATAAATTAGTGACCCCATCTTTTGGGGCTGATTTTTATTTTTCATTTTTCATACAAATTACATCATTTACACATAAAAGTTGAATGTAGATAGTAAATTAATTCAATTTTCTACTTAATAATGCCTTTTGCTGCATTAAATTTAATAAAATAATAAATTTTTCCTTAATTAAACTATACTGCATTTTTCATGCGGCGAAAAATGTTCCAATTCCATTTTGGACTTATCGTCGACGCTATCTTCACGCACATTGTTTTGTTTACATTTTGACAACCTATTTGGCTTGAAATTTGTTCCATTTTTTATTTCGTTTCGCTTGCATATGCAGCATTACCATTTCTAAAAACCTAAATGATGAATAAATTGGGTTAAATTCCGTCATTTAAAGACCATAAATGATCATTTAAAACTGTTAAATGAGCAAATAAATTATAATTTAGCCGCTTAATGATAATTTAGCTCCCGTCTGTCAATGCTATATGACTAGATGTCTATGATAGTTATAATATTAATGGAATAATAAAAAAAAATTTATTATTAGGTGAACAAACGAAGTTATTATATATAGATTATAAATTACTTATTATATTAATAAACGTGTTCAATATTCAACGTACAAGAATTTCACTACGATTTTACATTTCTATTGCGCGGTAATTAATTTTATATTTAGCACAGTTCAAGTTTTATTATTACAAAAATTAAAACAGAGTAACAACAAAATACTTTCTGTGTTGTACGCTATGCAGCAAATTGAGGGGTGAACTTGGTGCTAATATGGCCTTAAAGTAGATGGTTTCTGAGAGTGTTTTTGTTGTTTTGTACCGTTTACAAATGTTTAAAATTTTCTTTAAACTCAAGGTTTCGTTCTCTATACGATGTTCATTGCGCTAGACCTTGTATGTATGCGGCGAATTTAAACTAACTTAGCGTCGATAGTACATTAGCGCAGTAAAATGTAAAAATTCGATAATTTCAATTTCTAATCGATTAATCGGCTTGAAGTGGTGATAGTAAGGTTTCATTGTTATTAAAATATTTTGTTCAACATTAAGTATATAATTTGTTTAGTAAAATATGTTTAAAAAAAACATTGCAAGGTAAGGGAATTATGGAAAAATAAGTTTTTACATTAAATTTCAAACATTTTTTTGATGTGTTCAAAGCAATTAATGACTGCATGTGTTGTTGCCATTGAATTAAATATAATGCATTTAATTGATCATATTTATGTTTTAGGATTGAAAATGCTCCTAAAGGAAATGAGGATATGGAAAACAAAAACCAAACGAAGAGTTGCTCTGTTCAATCTTTTCGTAATCAACTCAGTCCAAAATCAACAAACTTTATAAAAATGCTTGAAGATCATCGTCAAATGGAGCAGTCGGAACGAAAGCGGAAAAGAGAAGAGATGAAAGCAAACGAGACTTCAGAGGAAAAACGAAAACGCCGGTTAAACGAAAAACAATCAAAGGAACTACGCCGGAGGCAGCGTATGGGATGGGATATGGAATATCAACAGTACACTAACCAAGATAATCCCTTTGGTGATCCAAATTTAATGTCCACTTTTGTTTGGAACAAAAAATTAGAAAAGGAGGGACTTCATAATGCCTCTTTCGAAACTGTTGAAGTTCTTTCACGAAATAAGCAACTTGAGAATAAAATAGAACTTGAAAAAGTAAAAAAGCGTCGAAAAGAACGTGAACTGGAGAAGCAAGCCCGTGAAGAGGATATTATTCTACAGCAAAGATCAAAAGAAGCAGCACAGTTTCAAGAGTGGGAGAGGCAGGAAGATCAATTTCACTTAGAGCAAGCAAAACTTCGTAGTAAAATTCGTATTGAAGATGGGCGCGCAAAGCCAATTGATTTACTAGCGCAATATGTTTCCAATATTAGACTTGAGGATGCTATTGAAATGCAAATGCATGAACCATACGTAATACTGAATGGACTTAGTTTTAAGGATTTAGAGGACCTTCTTGTTGACATCAAAGTATACGTTGAACTTGAAAAGGGAAATAATAATGATTTTTGGGACGATATGATTACTATTGTAGTTGATGAACTGCAAAAAATAAAAAAGCTGATGGAGCGTAGTGATGAAAAGTCTACAAGCGACAGACGCCGCGAGGGCATACACCATTGCGTTACTAAAAATGTCGCAGATATATTTCGTGGTAAAAGTACATCTCAACTACTGGAGTTACGCAATAGAATTGAAAATAAAATTAATCAGCGGGATAACGGTGTTGATATTAGTTACTGGGAGAGTTTGTACTCTCAATTAAAAGCTCATATGGCTAGGTCTCGACTACGTGACCGTCATCAAGAAAATCTGAAGATAAAACTTGAGACACTTAAAAAAACAAACTCATATAGTGAAAAGGCAGAATTATCAACAACGAAATTTATGTTTAATAACCATGCAGGTAATAGCACATCTAGTCATTGTACATTTAGCTTTGAAAATGAAAATAGTGATGTTAATGATATAAAAAGCGAACATGATTCATGTTTTCATTTGTATAGAAGTGGTAATTATACTCCAAAATATTTATCATTATCTGATCTCAATGATGATGTGGTGTTACTTCATGAACATCAAAATAAAGAACATATTCAAAAACTACGCAATGTATTAATTCAAAAACGAAATGAAGAAAAAATAATGACTGATGAAGAATTAAAAATGGAAATTGAAGCCCGAAAAGGAATGTTAAGTGATGAGGAGGAATTTTCAGTGGAAGCTTCTTTGAACGCTTCAATACAGTCAAATTCTGACAAATATCGACCCCGTAAACCAAGATATTTCAACAGAGTGCATACTGGATTTGAGTGGAATAAATATAATCAAACACATTATGATATGGATAATCCTCCTCCAAAAATTGTACAAGGTTATAAGTTTAACATATTTTATCCAGACTTGATAAATAAAGCAATTACTCCACAATACCATTTGGTAAGTAACATTTTTTTATTTACACTAATATATATGCAATAAATCCATGACGTTTTTTTAATCGCAATAAGTGAATATAAATGTTTGTTTGTTCATTTCAACAAAACAAAATTGCTAATATTGTAGATGCAATAATACGAGAAGGGAAAGAAAATTAGTAGTTTCATTATTTTCTTCTAAATGAATGATTGTGTATAAGACTTTAAAGTGAAATGTGATATTTCAAAATTAATGTTACTAAAATAAGTAATATTGAAGAATTTTATCTATTTATCGCCAATAGAATTGTATTCTTTTGATTATTTTAACCTTTTATATTATCAGCATTAATAAGCATAATAAACATGTCCGTGACTAGTGAAGATGAGATTTTGTCGAGCTTACATACGTTTTAAGCAAAACTACAGAAAACTCGCAAACAAATAATTTTCAAGTTAGAATAATGGGTTTTTCTCAAGAACCCAAACTAGTAGTTATTGCAAAAAATCACCAGCAAAAAGTTGTTTAATTCTTATATAAGTATGTAGTTATTATTCTAATATTCATTCATAGTTAGGACAGTGATGACGAATATTATTTATATTTATGAGTGATAGTTATACTTTGTACTTGCAAAAAGGATAAAGTTAAATTGTATAGAAATAGACAATAATATCCACGATGACAATCAATTGCCTAATTAAATGGTCAGTTCGTGATCATGCAAAAAGTTGGTTAATTGATAGAATTTAGAATGTCAAATGTTATAATGTAGAACCGTTTTCAGCGAAGTGAGTATTTAAATACCCATTCAATTTTTGCACGTGTCCACCTAATTCTCGCATCATATTTTTGTTCAGCTATTGGATTTTTTTTCTACCTATTATAATGATTATTATTATGTTTCTTGTTAATGCTATTATAAACCAAATGCATAAATATGAAACCAGTTTTTAATCACATTGTAACGAGGTTTTTGTAACCATGTACAGAATACACGTTTTATTCAAATGTTATACAAATATGTAGTATTATGCGTTGGTTGGTATACAAAAACCAAATTTACATTTAAATTTTTACACAAAATCGTGTAATCCGAAATTTTTTAGAAATTGAAGGAATTATAAGTAAAAAAATATAACTACAGTAATAAATTGAAAAGTTTTTATTATTAATAATAATAAATTAAGTAAATAATTACTTTGTAGTTTTATTGCATTTACTTATTTATTTATTTTATTATATATATTATATAAGTATTGCGTTTTATTTTATAATAAATAATAATTTAGGCACTTGTATATTATAATCCTTTTGAATATGATTCTGCTCCTCTGTTTCTCTTATATTAAATTTACTGAAAGTTGCTTAAAACAAGATCTGTTGTATTCGCGAAAAACCAATTGGGAAACTGCTAACAACTGAAAGTAGAACGACATTTCCGCAAGTTATATGAATTGTAAAACAATGTATTGGTGACCCTTGAATGTAAGCGGTACAGCCAGACTTTGGCGCTGGGTCCATTTGATATATTTAACACTGTTTTGTTATTTATTTTGCGCTCAGGCGATGATCAAAAAGTGTAGCTTATCTGGAGAAAACAAAAGTTAAACATTAATGCGTATTAAGCATCAATGTTTATGTATTTATGTCTAACATATATCATATAATGTATACAAAATAATTATAAGATCTAATGTAAATCAGTTTAACTATACATATAAATAATATAACACTTCGTTCAATAATGTGTGTGACTGACACATAGATGGCGGCACTAATACTAAATAAATATTTTTTTTTCGAAAGTGGCAACCTTTTTAGGCTTACTGTCAAAATCATATGTTAATCCGACCATTTGTTTACAAGTTACAGTGCTTTAAGTGACGCTACTTTTGAGTTTTCAAAAAAAAATGAATTCAAAGCAATTCCGTGTGCTGGTTTATTATTGTTTTTTAATGAAAAAAAATACTGTTCAATGCCAGGAATGGCTTGAAAAACATTATTCGGACTCTGCTCCATCAAAAAGAAGCATTTGTTATTGGTATGTCGAATTCAAACGTAGTCGTACAGACACCGATGACATTCCATCTACTGGACGGCCAAATGACGCTGTTATTCCGGAAAACGTCGAAAAAACACTGAAAATCATTATGTCCGACCGTAAAGTGAAAGTGAGGGAGATTGCTGATATTCTACAGATATCAGCAGGCAGTGTACACACCATAATACACGAACATTTGGGTATGAAAAAGGTGTTTTCCAAATGGATGCCGCGTTTGCTCACACCGGAGCAAAAACAACAACGAATCGATGATTCAAAGAGATGTTTGGACATGTTTACGCGCAATAAGTCGGAGTTTTTGCGTCGGTACATCACGATGGATGAAACATGGATCCACCATTTCACTCCAGAGTCAAATCGGTAGTCTGCTGAGTGGCATGCAGCCGGTGAAAATCGCCCAAAGCGACCAAAGACGCAGCAGTTGGCTGGCAAGGTTATGGCGTCTGTATTTTGGGATGCGCATGGAATAATATTCATTGACTATCTCCAGAAGGGGAAGACCATCAAAAGTTTTGTTCCACCAAGACAATGCACCGTGTCACAAGTCGATGAAAACGATGGCAAAATTGAACGAATTGAGCTACGAACTGCTGCCGCACCCACCGTATTCTCCAGATCTGGCCCCCAGCGACTACGCAAACCTCAAAAAGATGCTCCGTGGTAAGAGATTGGGCTCAAATGATGAAGTAATCGCCGAAACTAACGCCTATTTTGAAGGCAAAGAAAAATCGTTTTACAAAGGCGGTATCGAAAGATTGCAAAAGCGTTGGAATGATTGTATCTCCCTAAAATTGGACTATGTTGATGAATAAAAACGAATTTTGGCAAAAAATGTGTTTTAATTAGTTAGTCACGCACATTATTGAACGAAGTGTTAGATTATATATTCTAAAAATATTTGTATTGATATCTAAATTGTTACACTTACAAATATGCATCAAATACATTAGAGTACTTAGAATATTTGTTGTCTTGAAATATGTTACTTCTTTATATTTTGATAATTGAAAATATAATCAAGAACACTAAATACAAGAGGACTTCTCAACTGAGCTTTTGAAAAATTTGTCTCCAAAAACATTAGTCCCATCAAGAGGAACACTTTGTGTTTGTTCTCTATTTTTGCTTTTGCTTGTAAATTTCATATAAAATGTATGCATTTTTAGATGAAAGGAAAGAGTGCAATATTTGTTTACCTTTGTTTTTGTGTTTTGCTATATTTTCTTTTGGAAATATTTTAGCACCGTGCGTAGTCAGAATTCAGTTAAACATTTACATCGTTTTAAAATATATATCTAGCATCAATATACAAACCTTTTCTTCGTTTGAATTAATTAAATTACTGATTAAAATATATAAATGTTTTAATATTGTAATTGCTTTTTGTGATAAGGTATAATTGTTTAAACATGAAATTTGCAAATGTATATAAGAGGAGGTAGGAACCGTTTAATCATAAGCTATATCTCATATCTTACATTCATAGGAGTAAAGGAATTTAAAAGTATTCACACAGCATGAAAAGGTAAACATAAACATAACAATAAATATGTATGCGTGTCAAGCTGAGAAAACGAATCAAATTTCGTTGCTTGAAATTCATGAACTCACATCATACTCTCTTCTCCCTCTCATCTATCGGTAACCGGTTTGAAGTTAATGTTAATGTTACGTTCATGTTAATGTAAATTCAGGTGTATATAAAATTTTTAAACGGCATGCAAGCCGTGGCTTTAGTGATACGTTTATAATAATTATTGGAAATAGGTCGTAAATAGTTCGTAAATTGTATAAGTTATCATGTAAGATAAGATTTAAGAATAAATGCAATGCTCTTGTATTTAGTGTTCTTGATATAATGAATAATTGATAATTAATGAAAAATGGTGTTCTTAACAATTCATACGCGGTAAATGTGACTAGTTTCGTATATGTATATTTTCTATTGATAGTCTTGTGTACCGTTCATTTTACTGCGATTTTCCGGAATTTTGCACAATAAATTGCACGTAAAATACGATTAAATTTTTCGAATAGCAAGGAAAGAAAGGACAAACACAAAAATTTATTTAATTTATTGAAATTTGACTGAGAATACAACGCTGTTTCGAGTATTGCCAAGTACTCATCAGTGGTCTTAGGAAATAATCGCATTTAATTAGTTTGTAATCTGTATATAATTTATTTGGACTGCAAGTGCCAGGCTTAGAATTTATGCCTGTCAAATTAAAAGCGATGATTAATAGTGTTTATCGACAAGTAGCCAAGGCTACAAAAACTTTCAGTGCTCTAATTCAAGGTTTTTTTTCGATAACACTAATAATAACTTTAAAAATTAGACTTCTGAAAATAAGAACAATAATATATAATATTGTTCAGCTTTTCCTAATCGCGAAAGCGAATTTGTAGAGTAACAGTTGCAAATCTTCTTTGTAAAAAGCAACAGTACGTATACTAAGTTTTGGTTGGTTTTTGTTGAACACTTTCAATCTAATTCTAGAAAAACCTTAGCTAATATTTTAAAATACTTTAATATTTATTAATTTATTTATAAATATATTTTATAATTGTAATGTAAATTTAAAATTTTTCAATATTCATAAAATGTTTTTTTATTAAATTTTGTATAAAAATATTTCTATTTCAAAAATTAATATAAATGTAACAACGAATGCGCATACACCCACTCCTAACAATAGATTTTTTGCTACCGATTATACAGTAATGTATGTAAACTAATAATACGTATCCATTCATCACATACATTAATTAATTTATAAAAAATAATAAAATTTAATATAAATATATAAATTAAATAAAATATTTATAATCCATAAAAGTAATTCTTACCCACTAAATTTTTGCCCCTTTAATAATAATTTACAAAAATTTTATAAATTTATATTAATAGATTGAGAAATCTATCAATAGATTTTTCAGTACTAAATTTGGAAAA